CCCATGTCCAAAGTATGGAACATGGTCCAGAAAATTAAAGGTAAAGGTACTAAATCTAGTGTCCATCATCTTAAAAATGGAGATCAATTACTTACCAATAAATCAGATATTGCGAATAAACTTGGTGAAACTCTCGCTAAACACTCTTCCTCTTCTAATTATGTGCCCAAATTCCAACAATATCAAAAACAACAAGAAAAGAAAACTATTAACTTCAATTCAGATAATGGGTAAGATTATAATGAAACATTTTCTATTTATGAACTCCATACTGCTCTTGAGCAAGCTCATGATACTGCTACAGGTGCTGATAACATACATTATCAACTCCTGAAGCACTTACCAGAACCCTGCCTAGAAACTCTTTTAAATATTTTTGATGAAATTTGGACATCAGGTAAATTTCCTCCCTCATGGCGTGACGCTATAGTAGTACCAATACCTAAACCTGGACGTGATCATACAGATCCGTCCAATTATCGACCTATTTCACTAACTAGCTGTGTTTGCAAAACCATGGAACGAATGATCAATAATCGACTTGTTTGGTACTTGGAAACAAATAACCTCATAACAGATATACAATGTGGTTTCCGTAAAAAACAGAAGTACTGTCGATCACTTGGTGCGTTTGGAATCGTTTGTTAAAAACGCTCTAATTAATAAACAACACGCTGTGTCTATCTTTTTTGATCTTGAGAAGGCATATGACACAACGTGGAAATATGGCATTTTAAGAGATTTACATGATTTTGGATTACGAGGCCGTTTGCCTCTATTTATATCCAACTTTTTTAAATGATAGACAATTTCAAGTCCGAGTGGGTTCAACCCTGTCTGATCATTATAATCAGGATCAGGGTGTCCCACAAGGCAGTATTTTGTCTGTCACCCTGTTTAGTATTAAGATCAACAGTTTATCCAAGGTTTTAACTGATTCAATCGATGGATCATTATTTGTGGATGATTTTAATATTTCTTGTCGTGGGAAAAATATGCATACTATTGAACGGCAACTGCAGTTGTGTTTAAACAAAATACATAAATGGTGTCTGGAAAACGGATTTAAATTCTCTAAATCCAAAACTAATTGTATTCATTTCTGCCGTAAATACAAACCTCATAACGACCCAGAACTATCTTTAAATGGCACTCCCATCAAAGTTGTTAAGGAGGCCAAGTTCTTGGGTCTAATTTTTGACTCTCATTTAACATTTCTGCCGCATATTAAATCCCTAAAAACTAAATGCCTGAAGGCACTTGATTTGATGAAAGTCGTTTCAAATTCTAAGTGGGGAGGGGATCAAGCTACCCTCTTACATCTGTATCGATCATTGGTACGTTCCAAACTTGATTATGGCTCCATCATATATGGTGGAGCCTGCAAAAGCAACCTACAACTTTTAGATTCTGTCCACCACCAAGGTCTGAGACTTTGTCTTGGGTCCTTTCGAACTTCTCCTGTTGACAGTCTCTACGTCGAGGCAGATGAGCCATCTCTTGCACAACGCCGTATCAAATTATCTTTACAATATATTACTAAACTATTTTCTAATGAGTCTAACCCTGCATTTAACTGTGTCTTTCATCCCCTCTATGAGGATTTCTACAACAAAAAACCTTCTCTTGTTCCGCCTCTTGGGCACAGAATTAAGCCCTTCCTGTCTGCTGCCGGCATTGAGCTTGAAAATATAGCTCCTTCCCGTCTTCTTTCTTCTCCTCCTTGGCAACTGGTTAGGCCCCAAGTTGACCTAACTTTGACCACATTTAAAAAATCCGAAACTAATGAATTACAGTATAAACAAGAATTTAGTCAGTTAAGAAATAAATATACCACATATAAATCCTTATATACAGATGGATCCAAGGATGGTGGCGCTGTAGCTTGTGCCACTGTCATTGGGTCCAGAACAATATCATCTCGATTGCCTGATAACAGCTCTATTTTCACGGCGGAAGCTAACGCCATATTAACAGCTTTAAAATATATTAACTCACACCGTAAATATCAACAATATATCATCTTTTCTGACTCTCTTTCTTGCCTTCAGGCGATTAGAAATCTTTCTTGCAAACATCCACTTTTATTAGAAATTCTTGAATTGTACAATGAACTTGCTACTGGCCAATGCGACATCGTCTTTTGTTGGTTACCCAGCCACGTTGGCATTTCTGGGAACACGATGGCTGATATTGCTGCTAAGGCAGCCCTCAACAAATCTGTGACACCACTTCTTATCCCATACTCTGATTATAAAGCCAGCATTAGAACATACATCCGCGATCTAATGCAAAAGAAGTGGGACACCCAAGTAGGTATTAATAAATTACATGCAATAAAACCCTACATTGGTTACACCTACTTGGGTTGTCAGTCCAGATTTGAAGAGGTCATTATGCGACGATGTCGCATTGGCCATACCAGATATACTCATGAATATTTATTGAAAGGCGAAGATCCTCCGTTTTGTATCCCTTGTGATGAAAGGATCACAGTCAAGCATGTCTTGCTTGACTGCATTGAATATTCCATCACAAGGGATATCTATTTCAAATCCAAAACTCTGAAGGATCTTTTTTAATAATATCAGTTCTCATTTAGTTATTGCCTTTTTAAAAGAATTAGATTTGTTGAATGAATTGTAAATAGCTAAATATTTTATGATTGGTAGTTTAATTGAGCAGCTGGGATTGTTAGTGGCTGTATCCTCACAGGGGGGTTGAAGCACTGTAAAAGTATTGTCCTCCTGAGGGGGTACGTAAGTCCCAAAACATTCAAACTAAATTTAAACATACCATTAGTTTTAATCGTAGAATATGTGTTATTTTAACTTATGGCTAATTTGTCTAAACTTGCTGACGGCTGAAGGGATGGTGTAAATCCAGCTAGGGTCCATGCAGGAAGCAAATGTACTGTAAGTCCCCATGGTCCCTAGTATGGTGATCTACCTTCAGTCGTTAGCAATCTACAGCCTGTTTTTATATTGTATTGTCATTTCTAGTTCCAATATTTTAGATTTCATTGCTAGTTTTAAATGGATATCTGTGATACACTAGTAGTTTTACTGTTCTTCGTCAACAGGTTTTTTACTGTCCTACTTTATTGATCTATAATATAATTATAAACTGTTCTCGTCACGATATGGCTGAAATATTGCCGATGTGACGATAAATATTAACTCACTCACTCACTCACTCACTAATTTAAGCTACCAATAATAAAATATTCATCTATTTACAAACCATTTATCAAAATGTATCTAGCAATTCCATTTCTTTTAAAACTTAAATGATTAAATGATAAGTAACATTGAAAAGATCCTTCAATGTTTTGACGTTGAAATTTTTATCCCTTGTGGTGGAACGCCCGAGGAAATACGCTACCTTAACTAAGTCTACTTTCTTCATATTCCTTAAACCAGTAGTTGAAATAAATAAATAGCATCACGTTATGTTACTCAAATCTGGTTTTATTTAGTTTGGTGTTCATATGGTGACATATCTTACACTGCAAATGAGTGAGTGAGTAAGTCAAAATTTAACGTCACATCGGCAATATTACAGCCATATCGTGACTAGAACAGTTGATATCAATATTCAAAGCAATACATTTATAACGTAAAAAACTGTCATCGAAGGACAGTCAAACTACTAGAATATCACAGTTCTTAATTTAAAACTAGTACGCTATCATAAAAATATATCACGAGAGACAAAATATAAGAACGGGCTATAGATCACCAGGACCAAGGACCATTGGGACTTACAGTACCTTTGCTACCTGCCTGGACCCTAGTTGGATTTAAACTGCACATGGATTAATTACCTTGATGACACGTGTTGTTGATCCACCCTGCTGCACATCCTCCAGGACATGTTCCATTTGTCTTGATGCAAACATCCCCATCCACACAGTTGCCACATTGGAAGCCACAGTTCGGACCATAGTAACCATTCGGACACGCTGTGAACATAAACGAAACGTGTTTTACCCCCCGAACGTATAACAAATGGAATTAGGAACATTATCAGGAAACATAAATCCAGAGGTTGCACATTCCTACGGACATACTCCAGTCGACTTGTTACACACATCCTCTCCAAGACAGTTTCCACACTGAAATCCACAGCAAAACCATCCACCCTGACACGCTGTACAAGTATAAAACTATTACTTAAAAAAAGTAGATAAGTAGATTCCGATGATAAGAAATTTGGAGAAAGTTTGTTATTAGCAGTAAGTTACATTTGATATCGGCAAGAAGAGGTATATAAAAAAAGCAGGTGAGAAAACATAATATCATACGAACATCTAGACAATATGACCCAAGCCTGTATTACAAGAGGCTTACTACAACTTTCCAGAAGTCAACTTGTACATCGAGTTCGGCAATATTCCCGTTCCTGAAGTCTTCGATCATATAACGTTTGTTTAAAAGGTGTCTGGTCGAAGTATAGTTGTAAATGTATCAGTGAGTCGTTCAAAAGATCGAATGATCGTTATGTGTAGGGTATTTTCGTAATCTGTGCCGAAAAATACGTAATATGCAATATGTGTTTTAATTTGTACTTGTGGACTCTGTTTGAAATTTTGAATTAGGTTTGCGCCTTGGTGCCGTTTGTGAACGACAGGCAAAGACATCTTCACATGACATCATCATTATTTGATAGTTATTCATAGACAAATGCCCACAAGAGACGCTGTCACTCATGGCTTTCGAAACGGTTTTATCGTTTCTACTTGCACTAAAATTCATGAATCACAGTCTTGGCGAAATCGCATTTAGAACCACCAGAAGATCAATGACTCTGGAAAGTTTGGTTTTATGTCATTCATATATCTATGCACAGAAATCGTGGAAAAGATAATCATTAAAGTTCGTTTGGAAAGGTAGATTATAAATGCGAGCTTTAGCCGAATTCCATAAATCAGAATACTTTAAGAATATCGTTAAATCCAAAGTTTACCATTTCCACTGAAGCAAAGACAGGGTACTCACGTTGAAGACAGGTGTCAGTTTGCCACCCTGCTGCACAACCTCCAGGGCAGATACCTGTTGACTTGTGACAAAAGGCAGCGTTGAGGCAGTTTCCACACTTGGAGGTGCAGTTTCCATAGTAACCGTCTGAACACGCTTTACATGACATAAAAGAATCGATTGTTCAACTGTGCCATACGTTAGACACGCATTGCATGAATCCAATACATCATTACTGATCATGATAATATAAAACACGAATCTAAGAGAAATCCGATGTTTTTTTCAAAGAAGGCAAATGTAAGTAACAAATACCTTTCCCTTACGAGATATGAACGTTTGTAAGTATTCAATGGAGCTGGCAAAAGTTATTGACAATCTATATATTAACGGCGCCTGCCATGACATATTATGATTTTCATTCCAACTGGTTACTGATTTACCTCGTTAATTAACACGCTGGATCTTCATACCTTTAACTGTCCTTATTCTATTCTAATATTTCAAACTGTTAACGCTTTACCTGTCTCAGTCACGATGTGGCTGACATACTGCCGATGTGACTATGCATTTCAAATCACTCACTCACTCATACGGTTGAAGGGGAACATGAAGGTTCAAGATCATAGCAGTCATAATAGCGTCATCCATACTACCTCCACTACTCTGTGGTGTTCACATCAACATGTGTCCATATTACCGAATTCCGTCGATAAGATGCTCAGAACCTGTACCTGTTTGGCAGTCTATTTCCATGTATCCTGGAGCACATCCACTCAGACACTGTCCATTGATCTTGTCACATACTTCTGTGTTTAGTGAACAGTGACACTGTTTGTCACAGTCCTCACCAAACCAGCCGTCGCTACAAACTGACAACAAACATCAAAGGGGAACAAATATGAAATGTAATTGATAAGATCCAAACCTACTAATATCACATTTCATAATTAGCTATTAGCTAACTCTTACCCTCCAAACAATAAAACACTGCAATAAAGAGAAACCTTGACGACAGCCTGCCTTAAAACGTTTAACAATGGTAACTGCTCTTAAATTAAGATCCCTTATTTTGCTGCCCTGTTGTCTACAATGTTATTTGTAGACTATGTCATTTGTTGTCTATAATGTCATCGGTGGTTTGGATGTTTGGTTTGTCATCAGGTGTTTCGAGAAATAGTCAAAATCGATGTTAAGGCTTTTTCTTCACATTAAGCAGTCTTCTTGTGACACAAGTGCATTACACTTAAAAATAAATATAAGCATTTCCTTTAAACACACGTAAACGCATCTTAACCTACCAAATATCTGTACCTCGCACAGCGTGACAACTTTGCTGGTCTGTATAGTGAGGTTGTTTCCTGTCAGTGCTTGTTGACAATCGACGTCAGCTATAGCAAGCGGATGCGTGTCCGTTGCCCACTGATGGCACAGTTGTCCACCAACATATATCTTCATACCATTGTTGTACCACATGACTGCATTTCGAAGAGGAAAAATGTGCTATTAGAGACATGTAAAATGTACAGCAAGTTTCAGAATCCATGCACACCAAAACAAATGCTGTCCACATGATCATGGCATTAGCCAGCATTGACGTCAGCTATAGCAGTCGGATGAGAGACCGTTGACCACTGGATGCAAGGCTGTCCACAAACGGATATCTTCCTGCCCTTGTTACTGTACAGGACTGGGGATGGGAACATTCCGTTCCTAACTCAAGAAAAGAACCAAAGTGTGTGTGTATTATCAAGTCACATGCTGTATCATTAAAATTTATAATGGTTAGATTTCCTATCACCTGATGTAAACGAAGCCTTGGTAAAATTGTCATTTGTCTCCCTTACCTGTCCACATACAGCTGTCTTGTTTTTGTGTGTACTTTAGAGTATGCAGTGCTAAACATTCTGATATAGTGTTATCGTCATAACTTGTACAAATACTTGGTAAAAACATATCTCTCAACTTGTTATACAAATGGTATGAAGTGATTTAGTGCACTTCGTCTTCATCTGCAGATACATTCAAATTTGAGTCACAATGTATATCAATTACAAGGATTAAGTTTCCCCATCACCAAAAGTAAATTAAGCGGTCGTAAACATTGTCAGTTATCTCCCTTAGCTGTTAACATTCAGCTGTTTGTTTTGCGTGCACTTTAGAATATACAGTGCTTAAAGATTCTGACATAGTATTTATCTGTTATAATCTTAAATGTGTCTACATTATATAGTTCGCTAGAACAAACACTTTTTAAAACTTGTTTCTCAACTTGTTATACAAATGACATGAAGTGATAAAGTACATTTCGTCTTCAACTGCAGATAGATTCAAATTATTAAAACAATATTTACATGTTCTGACCTCTTAGCAACTTCTTCCAAACGGCCGACGTATGATTCCCAAATCATATATCTGAACAATTTTAAACTTTTCAAGTTGTACAGATACCTTTCAGGTTCTAACAGAAATTTGCTTGTGAAATAACTGTTTAGCTTACTGGTTTCACCTATGGTATATGCCCATATTTGTTTCCAGCAATCTTGCAGCCGTTACTTACAAATTCTAATAAAATGGGAGACATTACCAACATCTTGTTCCAGCCAAACTATACCAAATCCGTGAATATTGAACAAATAGTTGATGCTTGTTGCCAATGTGGACCTACCAACTCCATCAAGCTGATACAGCATCAGATAACAAGCCTTTGGATATCTGGTTGTCGGAATGTACAAAATTTACAACTAGTATTTTATTGAGAATAACACCTTCCCAAATCCATATAAAACTGCTGCTGGAGTGTTTGAATTGACGTGAAGAACTTTTCTGAGAAATTTACAATGAACATATTCTAGAACCTGAACACTTTCAAACCCCCAAACTCCTGATGCATAGCATAAGATGGGAGAAGCCATCCTGTCAAATAGAAACATAGACTGTTTAATGTTGAGCTTAGCTTGAGTGAGTGAGTGAGTTAATAATTAACGTCACATCGGCAATATCTCAGCTATATCCTGACGAAAACAATTTATACAATAAAATATGAAAACATTTTGGAGAGTAAAACCTACCGACGATGGACAGTAAAAATACTAGAGTATCACATATATGAACATAAAACTAGCATGTAAAACTAAAATATATTAATTAAAGAAGACAATACAATATAAAACACGGGCTATAGATTGCCAACAACTGAAGGTAGATCACCATACTAGGAACCATGGGGACTTCCATTACTTTTGCTACCTGCATGGACTCTAGCTGGATTTACACCTGTTGAGCTTAGATTTTCTTTAGAAAAAAAAAACAAATAAAATGTAAAATGCTAGGGTATTTCTGGCCAAACTCCATGAGAGCTTATGAGTGAAAAGCACACCAAGATACTGGCAGACCCTGCCTCAAGAGTAATACACGTTGACTGCAAAATCCTGATATTGTAATCTTCTCACAGAATCTCCAACATTAGCAATATCATCTGCAAACATTAACAAGGTAATATTTTCAACATACTCATTCACTAAAATAACCTTGCAATTACTTGACTAGTGATTATCTAGCAACTCATTCAAAAACAAAGTGAGCAATAGTGGACTTATCACACACCCTTGCCTGGTTTCAAATGTACACTAAATGTACTCAGAGAGTGAAGACCCATTACAAGCACACAAGACTGTAGTTGACTGTACAGAGATGAAATAACTTCCCCTTCACACCTGTCTGCAATAATACATGTTTCAACAAGTGATGCTGAACATATTCAAATGCCTTTGAGAAATCTATGCATAGACAATAGCAACGCTGTATTTGTAACTAGAGACTGCAATACAAACATATTGTCCATGGTACGGTGACCTTTCCTATAGCCAGCTTCATCCTCATATAACTTGTCCTCAGAATCACACCAGTTTGAAAGCCCGTTGTTCAATGTTTTGGTAAATACCTTTCCTAAAACTGATAACAAAGAGATACTGCTATAATTGTTAGGCTCTGGTTTTTGTACCTTTCGTGTGAATACGGAATACTATTGCCTCTGTCCACGCTTGAATAACATATGAATATATGGTAAAAATATATGAGACATACCTTTCAAATACTCGTTCAACATTCCATCAGGCCTTGGGGCTCTACCACTGGGAAGGTCATAAATCACAGAACTAATTTCCTCCATGGTAATAACCTTAACTAAACCATCGTCAATATAGTCACTACAGTATGTGTGATCGTCATAGCCACTAAGATACTCATGTACGTGTGTACACAAATCAGTATCGAAGTTGCTGTTGTTTAGCAGTGACGAAAAGTGCTCAAACCACTCCACTGGTGAGATTGCTACAGTGCCAGGCTTCCCTTGTCCATTGAAGCATTTGATAAACTTCCACAATTCTTGCGTTGTTACACTTCCATTATTTATTACTCTCGTCAATTCTGGTTTATCCGATATGTCATACCTGGCATTTTTTGTGGTTACGTAGGTTCTTAAACATGTTTCTTGATGATATATACATGTAGTTCTTATAGTCAGTAGCCGAGCCAGATAATCTAAGCCTATGTATACACCTAATATATGTCTCACGCTTGCGAATCTCACATCCCTGGTCCTACCACTTTGGCTGACTTTGAAAGTGCCCCACAACCCACATCTCTGACTGCATACCACTTGCAGTACAATTTCCAAATTGATCGTTTCCTGTTCGACCCTATAGCCTATGTAACCCCATTACTCGCCATGACGATAACATTTAGTGATCGTCCAGATGAATTTACTACATTGTCTTTAGACTCTCTTCTAATGTTAGAGGAGTCAGTGTCATATTCTACATCCAGGTAGGTAGTGTCATTATCGACAATAAATCCTGCTAGAGTCCGACCCTAGCATTCAAGTCGCCTATAACAGCAAACTGGATGTTGCCACTACATTTAAATATGATGCTCTCTATTTAGCTCCTCAGGCACGGTATAATTGTCATTGGAAAGGTAATATGTTTGCTCCCAATACTCACAGCGCTGATCTAGATACAGTTTGACGTGTTGTATCTTGTCTGTTTTTGAGTTGTTCAGGTACACGGTCCAGCTATATTGAGATCCTGCGACCGAACATGTCAGTGGTTTACTATAGACGACGGTGGTAGTTCTGCCATCCACGGCGTACCAGGCCTCGAACCTGTGTGTTGTATTCCCTGTCTGGTAATTGTTTTCACTGTAAGTACTGCTCTGTGTGGCACTTCTTCCTAAGGCAATATTTCCTGATGAAAGTGAAGCAATGTACAACGTCATACACATGAGACAATAGTGGAAATAACGGCATTGGTTTCATTGTGTGTATAATGTAAACATGACAATGTACATTATTCTTAACATTTATTTACTTACCATAGCTGGGTTTTTGAAATCCCTCATAGTAAGAAAACGTAGAATATGCAGTACAGGGTCAGAGAGCATTTGGAAGTATAATACAGACACTACTAAATGTGGCATAAATTTATATTTTTCTTTACAAATTACAAATAACTGAACCCTTTTTCGTCGCGGAAAACATTGTACATCTAAGGCTTTCATTTGGATACTCTACATTTCATATTCAGGATTGCAACCACTCTTTGAAACATTATCGTTGTTCATTCAGTGATTCTTCCAGGAATTGCGAAAATAACTCGCAGTACATGAACGCCAAGACAAAATATACAACATATATCATGTCTTCCCATCGCAGACTATTATAAATCACAAATGTATGGAATCGTAGAATTGAATCAACATCCAAACATATAGAATATATTTGACCAGTCATGCCTCCCTGAGGCTGGAAGTTAGCTTTTCCGAACTGTGAATCTACCGTTAAGAACTCAACAACCAAAATTGAAACATTGTTGTATTTTATGATAAAAGGTATAGGCGTAACGGTAAATGAATGCAAAATACATATCTTCGCAATTAGATTTTTTTTTCGCCTTTCACGTTACATATAGCCTTATTTCCAGTATTAATATGATGCATTATAGTGTTAAAAGTTTTAATATTCGGAAATATTATTTGTTTTAATATTAAATTGGTACTATATAAAAGTATATAAGTATATGCGACACATAGTCATAGTACTTTGTCCAAGTGATACTACTGTACGTTGATGTACGTATTCATTGTGGTCACCATCCGGTCATTTACCAACGGATTCGTGGGTTCTTTTATTGCACAGGGTTGTGTACTGTACACTAGGGGTTGTCACAACACTGAAAAAGTCTGCACACAAACACACAAAGCTGCCTCCAAGGTTTGTACACCCGGTCACAGGTGGGCTCGATCCCCGCACCTCAAGATCCCTCAGCTGGATCACTAGCCTGGCGCCTTAGACAGCTCGCCGACCAACATAAACTGTGATCATTGACCCACTGACCTTTGTCGACAGACATTTGAATACAATATATTTGTATGCATCGCTGCAACAAGTTTGCCATTACAATGTAACTCACTCACTGAGTTATCTTGAGTAAAAATAGACAGATAGATATAGGTAATAGGTTGACTAGGTTGGAACAGATTATGTTTTTGTGTTCCAAGGTGGCACCGTGTCTGTCTGTGGGTAATACTATTCCATTATCTCATATGGTGGTATATGTAGGCACGTTGACTTTGGCTACTGATACATCGTATAGGCTGATTTCTTGGGAGATTGAAATTATTTTAAACCTTTTTGATCGTCGTGCACACCGATTAGCCAAATGTTAGTGCTTCACTCACGTTTCTGACAGTAGGAGCCAAACCAGCCTTCCTGACATCTGTCTGGATCACCGACCTGACTACAGGGAGTAGAGGGGAACACGTCACAGGCAGTAGTGGTGTTACAGTGACACTCTGCATCTGAAGAGATAATGAACAAAGAAAATTATTTCATGCTTTTGACAACGCAGGGATATATTTATTTATTGATGAAAACACATGTAGAAAAAAATGTGTGTCAATTTTCCGTGACTGACATCTTTGTAAATTCCTTTTGAAATTAAATAATAGCTAATCATAAGTGATATGAAGTGTCAGACAGAACTGTTGTATCCAGCGTTTCGAGTGCATTTGAAACGTAGTAGCAGATTCATAGCTTATGTTTAGAGCAGTATTCCAATAACATCTCTTCAAAGTCCTACCTGTGAGTCTGCCAGTGATGGAGAAAAACAATACCGTGGTCACTAACCACGTCATTGTGTCTTGGGTCTGTTTCTTAGTGGATGCAACCTGCAACAAAACAGACATTGGCGTTATTCAATCCCCTAAACATTTCACATAACGACACGCTTACAGATATAGTCTCAAGGGGAATGCTTCTCCTAATATCAACTGGGTTGACTTTCCCAATGGAAATCTCACTGACATTGGGTTGCTGAACGTACAGTTCCTTACCCAGCCATTTTATCTGACCTCTTTCCCCGATATCATTGAGACAATCTCACAGTAAATACGACAGGAATACTATAACACATGGTAACTATTGTCTTTGGTATCGACGGTGTAATATTAATATTAGGAGATGTTAAGATGGCAATTTCACAACACTATACGGCTAGATTGGTCGACAATTGCTGACAGCTGAAGCGATGATTTAGATCCAGCTAGGGGCCATGCAGGAAGCAAATGCACTGTAAGTCCCCATGGTCCCTAGGATGGTGATCTACGTTCAGTTGTTGGCAATCTATAGCCCGTTTTTACATTGTCTTGTTATTTCTAGTTCAAATGTTTTAGATTTAATTACTAGTTTTAAATGGATATCTGTGATACACTAGTAGTTTTACTGTTCTTCGTCAACAGGCTTCTATGTTTTATTTTATTGATCTATAATATAATTAATAATTGTTCTCGTCACGAAATGGCTGAAATATTGCCGATGTGACGATAAATATTTACTTACTCACTCACGACACTATACTCAAAGAGCAAGTTAAAAATTCGCCCCATCAATACATAATGTTAAAAGTACCCCGCTTATTTGACCAACCAGGTTTTACTTTGTAGTGTTATTAGAATGATGAGGAAATGTGATTCCACATGCAAGCTCAGAACAGCCAACATTTATTAATATGAGACATTAAGACATCAGCATTTGTCTTCAGTGGTGGCACAGTCACTAGTGCTACTGTCATTGGATCCAGAACCATATCATTCAGGTTATCAAATGCCAGTTTAAAATTAACAGCTCTTAAATATTTAAACACTCAGTCTAAAAAGTTTAATGTGTTTTCTGATTCCCTCTCTTGTCTTCAAGCCATTGACAATTTCTCCTTTAAACATTCACTTTGAATCGAAATACTTGAATTGTATAATGATCTGGCTACTGGCCAATACGACATCGTGTTTTGTTGCTTACTCAGCCACGTTCGGATTACTGGTAACACAATGGCTGATGCTGATGCTGCTGCTAAAGCAGCTCTCAACAAATCTGTGACACAACTCCTTATCCTTTATAGTGATTATAGTCCTATTATCAGATGTTACATCCTTGATCTGATGCAAAAGCAGTGGATACCCAGGTAGGTGTAAATAGGTTGTATCAGTGAGTTTAGTTTCACGCCGCACTCAGCAATATTCCAGCTATATGGCGGCGGTCTGTAAATAATCGATTCTGGACCAGACAATCCAGTGATCAACAGGATGAGCATCGATCTGCGCAATTGGGAACCGATGACATGCGTCAACCAAGCCAGCGAGGCTGACCACCCGATCCCGTTAGTCGTCGCCTCTTACGACATGCATGGGTTACTGAAGACCAATATTCTAACCCGGACGGGTTATGGGTCATAGGCTGCCTGAAATCAAACCAACTATCGGTTACAACTACTTGGTATGTCAGTCTAGAATTAAAGAGGTCGATGCCTCTCGAGATACACATACGAGTATTTACTGAGAGGTGAGGATCCTAGTTTTTGTATCGCTTGTGATGAGAGAGTTACAGTCAAGCACGTCTTGCTTGACTGTTGAGTTTTTCATCTCAAGGGACATATTTCAAAGTGAACACAGTAAAGAATCATTTTAGCAATGTTGGTTATCCTTTAATATTTTCATTTTTCAAAGAAATTGAATTATTAATGAATTTTGATGTGAATGTCTTCTTTTATATATTTGTAGGATATGATTGTGAACTGAGGTTGATAGTGGCTGTGCCCTTGATGGGGTTGAAGCATTGTAAAAATATTGTCCCCCGGAGAGAGACCATGTCATTCAAAGTGTTATTATATCTACCTGAATTTCAAAAGTGTTGAATAATTGTTCATTTTTAATATCTGGCTAAACCTTCGACAACCGCCTGTAACTGGTGAAAGGTGTAAATCCGTCCGGGGAACCATGTAGGTAGCAGAGGTACCGTAAGTCCCCATGGTCCCTAGTATGGTGTCCTTAACTGTGTTGCTGGCGTCCTCGAGCCCCATTTTTATCCCCCGCAACTCCGTTCGTCCGTCCGTGCACATTTGTCTTTTCCGGAGCAAAACTCTAAAACCGTTCAATATTTCTTCACCAAACTTGGCACATAGATAGATCTAGTTGTCTACTGGTGCCTTTTGGTAGTTTTGGATTTCTGAATAAAATATTTTTTTGCTTTTCCATGGCAACAAGTTTGACTTAGACTGAAATCGGTGGTAGTGCTCTTTTCCGGAGCAGAACTTAAAAACTGTTCACTGTTTCGTCACCAAATTTCATACATAGGTAGTTCTATTGGTGAACTGGTGCCTTTTGGTAGTTTGGGATTTCTGAATAAAATATTTTTGCGTTTCCATGGCAACAAGTTTGACTTAGACTGAAATTGGTGCTAGTACTCTTCCGGAGCAAAACTTTGAAACCTTTCAGTACTCTCCTTCCACTTTGCTATACACACGCCAAAACATTTGACATAATCGTCACTCGTAGACACATTCTTGAAGAGTATTGTGCCATTGCAGGGGATGTTGATCACTTTGTCTTCTTGTTATGTAAAATGTCAAATACCCAGTTGTAATTTTCTTAAACGAATTTTAAAGACAAATATGTGAAATATTGCCAGTTGTTCTTTTTCTGTCCATCGATGACAGTTTTTAAAATTTTCACGACATGGATGAAATATTGCTCACTCACTCGTGACGTAAAATATTCACTCACTCACTCACTCATGTTCGAAGCAATAATCTGCTAAATGTATGTACATGTGCCCATGGGTATTACGAGAAAGGTAGAAACATATAACGGAACGAAACAGGTATCCAGAAATACCTCTTGTTATCAACAAGATTCACCGTACATTGCAACCGAAAACAGACCCAGATCACCATGACACAACCGCTCTGACAATATGCAATAACTCAAACTTCGGACGCTATGTAAACATATTACATGAGCGATAATAGCAAGGTTGAAGTACATATATTCAACATAAGTAACATAGTTATGTTAAAACATATATATGAGACATAAAAATATCAAGCTGCAAATGTATGATAGACATGTACAAGCTTATTGATACTCACTAGTGTCTTTCCAAATTGGACAAATTCAGTGAAACACAACCGGGAAGGAAATTGTGGCAAGGCGTCCTCACCACCTGGTGTGTGTATTAACTGATATATTGTTAAAGTTGATATTATATCCGGATTGTAGGTTGCCTCCTTTTTCAATGTGGTGAAAATTTACTTGGTGTCTCTGCAGGATTTGCTCAGATAAAAATCACTTGTTATTATCTAATATTAGATACTTATTATATCTAAGTACACAAACAGTTTATCATCCTGGGTTTGTAATTATTGAATGAATCTGCCTCTTTAAACTCATATATTTCATAACAGAGTGAGTGAGTGAGTTCAAATTTTACATCGCATCGGCAATATTACAGCCATATAGCGATGAAAACAAGGTAATCAATTTAATTACTACTAGCCCTTTTTGTAAACATCCCTGTTGTGGAAAGCCACATGCAGATGTTACGCTTGAACGCATTCATCCAGGTCCCTTCGACATTTTCACACAGGAAGTATAGCCGGATATTTCAAATGAAAACAGTATGAAGACACACTCTGACAGCTGTGAAGGAAGGCAAATTCGCTGTACACTAAGAAATGCAATATTTCCAGCAACGCCAAGGTGAGATTTAATTCAGATTAAGATTTTTATGTCACATTCGTGTTTTTGACAGGTAATTAGCAGTCAGTGCAGGACACCACGCAATATTTCCAGGAACATAAAAGGACAATGTAACAACATGATACCGCTACTAATAAGTGGCGAATGTTGACCTGGCTAAGGCTGCGTTTTGGGTGAAAATGAATCACAAGTGTAAATGAAAGAACAACGACATTTAAGAAGTCGCGGTGGCTGAGGGGGGTTAGGCGGCTGACTTTGTGTGCTGGCGATTTAGTGCCTGAATCGGAGGTTGTGGGTTCGAATCCCGGATGGGACTCAAACCCAAAACTTACTAGAATTTGTACTTTACTGAGAATGTGTAATCCAAATATAGCATATGTCGCATTTTCCCACTTCCTAAATGGCACTGTGTAATCATAACATGTAAGAAATTTCACTTGTTTCAATTCCATACATTCAGTGAAACAAAACTATTATTTTTCAAGCAAGTCATATTCATCACCATAATCCTTGCTTATAAAACGGTCAGGTATCAGGAGTATGGGTGTTTATAAAGTAATAACTAATAACACTGTCGGGATTCCTGCTGATAACGTTTACTTTTTACTTTTTACTTCTAGTTGTATTTACATGCTTTAGGTGAGGGAAGTCAGTTGTATGACAATGAATGCCACATTATTGTAACTTGCTGCCTGAAATGAACGACTCATGATACGTCTTCTTGAAAGATGTCATAGCATTGTGTCATTCGAGGAGGCATACCATTGCTACAAAGCGCCAGTAAAAAACGTGCATTTGCTTTATTGTTAATACACGATCATATGACGCTTTATGTCCATATAGGTGGCAATCAGAAAGGATGTTTGTGGCTAGAATAGATAATACAAAAAACAAACAAATTGATAACAGTGTACTTTTCAAAGTCATGTGCATGTTCACGAGTTTGTTGTATAACCTCGATACAGCATGCAGTAATATTCTGATTATCTGACAGCGGTCTGTAAATAATCAAGTCCCAACATGACATTCCAGTGATTGATATCCAAAGTAAGTAGGCCTACAGTCACCCATGTCATGCTGTATGACCATCCAATCTACTTTCCTCTACTTTATGAGAAGAATATATCGGTGTGGGTCACAGAAACCTGGACTCTCAAACAGGTCCTGATCTTTATATACAGACCAAAACAAATGCATTAGGAAACAAGAGTAAAACATGAGGTGACAGTACAGGTATGTTTTGGTGTCATAATACATAATGGTATGTTATAGACCTTGCAAAAGATACCATTGATTTACTAACAAAGTATATCTGTGGTGAAATGTATCATACTGTTGTCAATGACTACTGTGCATACATGTATTTCTAAATGCTTGGATCCAAAACAAGTAGGCCGTAGGCCAACAATTTTTATCATAAAAATATACTATTTACACTTAGCTAAGGATCACAAATATTCAAAACTTTATTTAAACGTAGATTCATAATTTAAAATTGTATCCATTTAAAACTGGACAAATGATAATGTGGCAACCCCTCTTTAGGCAGACAGTCACTTTAATCTAGCCTTACGCACTTGATACATGAATAACCATCAGAATGGTTTTCATGGCACCGATCAACCATTTTGTAAATCATGGAACGTGTCAGTGACACGTACACAACAACTGTCAATAGCATGTATGGGTTCCACATATGAAATGACATACTGAAACCTGGGATCCATGCTTACAATAAGCTTAGATATTTAAACCAAATTTGACCCCGCATCATAGTTTTCTGTTGAATCTATGATTTGATCCTTAGCAAAGTGTGAATAGCATATATAAGGATTGATAACTGTTTCGTATATTTTACTGATGGGCATGCATCACTGATAACGAGATATCATAGAGCCAAACAGGCAAACTAATATTATTTACTACACAAACAATTTTACTCATACAGTTATATAATTCCTGCTGACATGGTATATAATTGAGTGTGCATGTGTAAAGCACGTGTCCTGATAACGTCTACACATATACTGATGCCTTAGTTGATTACTTTTGAAACACTTAAAGACTGGCTTGGGTGTATCATGTGAAGACACACTAAACCCCTGATATTGCTATTATCATTTAGCTTAATCCATGTATAAGGCACCCGGCGTTTGGGTTACTGTATGTCGTTAGAGCGGGTATTTCGTTCATGGTACTTGAACTTCGTTCATGTGTCTCTAACTTCTCGTAATATACTACCCATCAAAAGTGTAGCCTCACTAGTGTAAATGTAGCCAATTACTTCAGTCAACCTATCTAAGCTAGATTTTGCAAAATATTTTATATAGTTTAAAGGTACTGTTCAATGAATGATGAAACTTAGTGAAAATTGGTGAATTCTTACACCAAAACGCAGCTGTGCACATGCACGATATTGGCACATGCATTTCAGCAATTTGATGCATGATCCTCGTCATCCCCCAAGTTAGTAGAGAAATTCATCTTCGATGTAACCACATATATGCTAGACAAAAATAGTTAGGGATATATGTAAATTTTGAAATTATGAATAATGATCTATTTATTCATTGACACGCTGATAAAAGAAAAAACATAACAAAAACAATGTCCCTAACTTATTTTGTCCAGTATATATGCATAACATATCGTGAGTGCTTTAAGTGAGTCTAAACCTTTGATAGGTAGGATATGACAGCCTATACGTGTTTATTGAACATAACATGTTAGTAAACATATCATCTGAACTGTTTCACTTGCATTTGTCTGTTTCACCTGCTGTCAATGCTATGGACATTTTGTTATTATCATTTTTCTATGGACACGTGCTATAAATGAAACATACATCTTTATGGATGGCAACTTCTTGTTATTGCATAAAGCGACGTTTCGGAGTAAAATCTTACACCGTTATCAAGCTAAAAGTTACATCACTTTAATGACACCCGGAATACAAGCAGTATCTGTCGGGGAATATGTACGAATTGTCTAAATATTAACGGGCTGGGCTAATCACTCACAGGGACACCCGATCATAACCATGACGTGATATTGCTAGACATGACTAAGAGGAAAAGTTAGGATATAACCATCAATTTAATCAGCATGTAGTTAAAGAAGCTTTAATCACTGATAGTTTTACAAATACCATAACCTTTTCTATTCTTTATGAAAGAATATGTTGATGAAAATGTGATAGGACTGAATTTTTACCCCAAATAACTATTCCGCTCCTGCTCAAACTACACAATTAAATTAAGTTTTGACTAAAATATCAATTCTGTTATATACCAAGATGACATTTAAACATCAAGTAAGCTTTAATTATGCATAATCAGGAACAACCCGATTGTCAAAGATTCAGACCTTTTTCCAACAATTCAGATTGCTAATTGACAAAAACTTTTAAAAAAAGGCCACATTAGTAAGATTTTGGAATATTATTTTTTATGATTTTGAGTTAATTGTAATAAATAAACATTTCTCCTTGCCGGATACTGATAATTACAGCTAAAATCTGTTCGTTTTGTTTGTAAAGCAACTTTTAAAATGTTCCTTTTTTCAGTTTGACTGTAACTTTTCCTCAATCTTAGTTTATAAACCTTCATCCATTCACAATAAATAACGAATTTATAGGCCACACGACAATCAATTATTACTTTCTTTTTTCAAAATAAGGTAACTTGTTTTAGGACAGAAAAAACACCTGTTTTAAATTATCCTTATTAGAATACATGGTAATTTCAATGATCTTTTCGTTTTTGAAATGTTAAATGCTTGCTCTATCAAATTATAAAGGTTATTTTTGCAAAGAGTTTAGAATATCATTTCAGACAAAATTAATGGGTAACAATACAGGGTGGTGCTTATTTTATGCACATATGTACAGATGTGTCCGTATATATTACGAGAAGTTAGAGACATATATCAACTACCATAACAACCACCCTCATGACATACAGAAACCAAAACGTCGGACGACTTACTAACAGATTAAGCTAACCGATAATAGCAATGTCGTAATACAACTTCCTTCGGATATAATGCTACCTATCCCAGATATTAAATATGAGTATCAAACGAAAGCAATATTAAGATTAAACTACCATTGTATAATGTTCATATAAACCTTTATGGATACTCACCCGTGTGAACGTAAGAAGCATACAGCGACACACAACCTAGACGGAAGTTCTGGGGAGGAGACCACACGTCTTCCACACCAGGTAACATCAGGCTGTTTTAATATTTCGTGCAAGTTGTTTTACATCCCGGATTCCAGGTTACCTTGTGCACGGTTTAATGTTATCTATGAGGTAAAATGGAGGGTGTGTGACCAGGATTTTGACCAGGACATGATAGTTCAACCAAATACACATACTGCTTTTCCTCATGCTTTATCGATTGATACACACAGTACACGCTTTGTCGTTTATCTGCCTACTCAAACTTATATTTTTTTAAAAATATTGAGTTTTGTGACTGGTCGTTTAATATGCTTGGGAAATGGATACAAGTGACATTTGTCTTAACAGTGTTTTTTTGTACTCTCTTAACCAGTACATATGAAAGTCTTGTGCTTACTTATATGTGGAACACCAAATTCATTCTTAAGAAAAAACAAACTTGTGGTTAATTAAAACCGAGCAATCAAAAGTTGTCAAAAAATCGTCTGCTTCACTCTCGCCCGCCAACGAAACCACGGACAGGTTACGTAACTCTGTCGCCAGCGAACCGGAAGTGACGTTATATGTGGAAGGATTTTCAGTTAGTTGTATATAAAGTGTTTAACAAGCTCGTCATTTTGCTGAAATCTCGACGTCAACGAAGACGTGATGAATCGTTGTGTTGCCGTCAGTTGCTCCCAGGGGTCGGGTGATGGTGTCACCATGCAAAGATTTCCACCGTACCCCGCAGTTCGTGCTAAATGGGTTATGTTTGTGAGTGCGAAGCGAGCATTGTGGAAGCCTGGAAAGATATCTTACTTGTGTTCAGATTACATCACGGAAGGTGGAGTTAAAACATCAAAACTACTTACTAGTTGTAGTAAAATATGTATATGAAATGACCAAAAGGATTTTGCATGACACAATTTGTAACATAACAATTTCCTCCTCGGAAGCGAAGTTGTGGTCGAAGTAATAATAATACTATTGTTATAGTATTGTAAGTAGTATTATATTAACACCCACCTCGCTTCCAAGAGAAAAAGTGTTATGTTATAAGCTGTGTCGTGAAAAATCATATTGGCCATCAATCAAATGCATATTTTACTGCCAGCAGAAAGTAGTTCTGATTTGTAACTCGGTGAAAACAAACCTGAATAGCATTTATTCTCAGACTGACGGATGTTCACCACGGGGTGCAGCCATTTTTAACAAAAGTGACGTCACGGGCTAAAATCATTTCGAGAAGCATTGAGATCATGGTTTGTTTTCATCAAGTTAGAAAATCAAAACTACTCTCTACTCGTAGTTAAATATGTATTTGTATCTGCCTACTCACACTTACATTTTTTCAAAATAATGAGTTTTCTTACTGGTCGTTGATGCTGGGAAAAGGGACACAAGTGAGTTTCGTCCTGGCATTGTATGGTATTTTACTTTCCACCACTTAAGAAACACGACCTCCCTAAATACAGGTAGCATTTGTCCGTGACATCCATCCCACCCTCTCTGCAATGAAGGACTAGTCCCTAGAATTGGACCGCCTCCGTGGTGTAGTGGTTAGAGCGTCCGTCCGGAGAGCGGAAGGTCGCGGGTTCGATCCTTGACTGCGTCATACCAAAAGACGTTAAAATATGGTATTTGTTGTGATCCATGCCTGGCGCTCGGCATTAATGGGTACAACAAGGACTGGTCGGCTCGGAGTCAGTATAATGTGTCTGAGTGAGGTATTCATGCTTCACTGCGGCATGGTATCTCAGTGGGCTAGCACTATAAAACCAGCTTCAGTCTAGGCTAGTACAAGCAGCCGCACCTACACATACACACGCATGCATGTCGTCATGTAAGCGAAATATTCGCAAGCACGACGTTAAACCCAATTTCACCTCACCTCACCTCACCTCACCCTAGAATTGGGACATTAGCATGCCATTGCAGTAAATATGGGACACACAATTTTGATATGGACACAGAACAGTCATGAACATGCGTTAGAGTTAATACACAACCATGTGATGTTTTTATGTCCATATAAGCCGCAATGAGAAAGTATACTAAAGTACTGTCGGAAATAGAAAAAAAACTGTTGTTAGGCTGTTACTCTGTATCCCTAAACTTTACACAATTGCAAATAGCATATGTCCAAATAACCCACTTCGGCCTAACTGGGCGTTCAGTGGGATGCGTAATACGATATCCAGAAAAGCATGTTTACTCGTAAAATCGGGCAAAACTACGAATAGCCGCTGAAAACAATAGATCAGAATATAGATGGAAAGTAGGTCGCTCAGCCAGGTATGACGAAGGACAGTTGACTCACCTGGCATGAAATGCACGTGCTGCCTATAGGCACAAGGGGTCATCTCAAAGATATTTTGTGCTTTTTCATGTGTGTTGACTATGTCATCTATTCATAAACATCTTACGTGTCATTCTTTCATAAAGTTTATGTTGAGATATGTAAAAGAGTATGATATCCGAAAACCATCTAAACGCATCGTAGTATATTGCAATATGACAAATTGTGTTATATACAAGCGGACCAAGTAACTGTGCATAACATAAGATTACACAAAATAAATGTTAATTGAAAACTAAATAAACATGTAGCAAACTTTAAGCACTTTGCATGAAATTTGATGTCACATCACCTGGGCACACGCAATTCACATAAGGTGAATAATTCTCTTGTATTTTGTAGTTACACCCTGCATGTACTGTGTCCACACCAGATAACAAGTCTCGATAGGAAAAGCCTGTTTCATTTTTAAGCTCCGCTTGACTGCATTCCTTTCAGCTTGCCGGGCTATACACCCTTTCCAGCTGCATTCGCTGGGGAACTGTGACATTTTCACAAAGAGAGTGTAACCTTGAAAATTTCTTTTTGAGATAAATGAACCAGTTTGAGGTCTTGAGTATAACAACGGAAACACATATCGACATTTAGACGACTGCCACGTCTCAGGCTATCTGTTTGGTAGTCAGCAAAACATAAGTGAAAATGACACATACAATACATAACTGTAAGCAAAATACATTTATTTACAAGCATACATTTATTCAAATGTTAATAGTACTTTGATGTATGTTCCATTTATTAACATAATCCATGATCAGGTATGAGGATAATTATGATGTTATCAGTTGCCCGACATAAACTGTGAAAATTAGCTTCAGAAAATGTTCACATGAACACGAGAGTGTATTATATACATGTATATATATTTTACATTCCGATAGGTAATATGATGAGAAACGTTCAAAGCAGGATAACCCACAATCAACCATATCTACATATATGACCATCCGATCCACTTTACGACGAGCATAATTTTGCGGGGTTTCATTCAACGTTTAAAGCACCAACGCACCAAAGCGGGTCGTAGCGCAAATTGATCGTAACTCCCATACTTTTAATGTTGTAACGATCGCTTTGAGAAACGGGGCCCTGTACTTGTTAACACTGTTAATGCTTAAAAGTAACATTCCACAGTGATATAGGATGTGCCAATCTACCGATATATGCTATTGATAATATGTCCCTAACCAAAGAGGAAAATCCAGTAAGTCAAACACTACTCAAATACAAGGACTCATACCTGATATTGTTTTGCATATTAAGACAGGTGTTACTAGTATGGTGATCTACCTTCAGATGCTGGCTATCTATAGCCCGTGTTTTATATTGTATTGTCTTCTGCATTTACACTGTTTTAGTTTTACATGCTAGTTTTATGTTCATATCTGTGATACTCTAGTATTTTTACTGTCCATCGTCGACAGGTTTAACTCTTCACAATGTTTTCATATTTGCATTATACAAATTGTTTTCGTCACGATATGGCTGAGATATTGCCGATGTGACGTTAAATATTAACTCACTTACTCACTCAATCATTAAGACAGGTGATCATCAATCTTTGTCATTGATTTCATATGGAAATCAGAGTCAAACTGGCATAACTCAAAGTTATCAGTACGAAAAAATCTTTTACGCATACATTTATCTTACAAATCCAAATAGAAAAGGGCGATGTTGATTAGCCCCCAACATAATATACATAATAAGCAAGATGAGGATATGCCCCCAACATAATATACATAATAAGCATCAGAGACGGAGGTGACATGATATTATCAAAACAGCGTGTTGTGCGTATGGATACATTTATCTTACAAATAAAGTTAATCTGAGGTGATATTGATCAGAAATTGAGGAAATGTCCCCAAAATAATGTACATAATACACATCGGTGACGAAGGTGAAAGGTTATTGTTAAAACAGCCTGTTGTGCAAGTGACTACATTTATCTGACAGATCGAAGCAGGATGAGGTGAAAGTAACGTTGCGTTTTTCCCGCTACGTTTATTTACGACAATTCTTGAGGCCAATGCAAACACGTATTTTTAGCAACGACACGGAACATGTGTTTTCACAACAGAACGGTACTGGCAACATTTTCGATATTTAATCCAAGAGGTGCTAAGTAACTAGTGCCTAAAGTGACAAACTCCGCCGCATTTTAACACATACGCACAGAACAATTTATTTAACCGGAGCCTTCTCTTATTCAAATTTTACGGTCCTGAGGAACCTCCACTGCATTAATGTAAGGGGTGATATTGTCAATGTGCTCATATGTGTTCTCTATAACTGGATAATTGGTCTTCTCGTCTAGGGATATGTATTTGTCTTCGGATTTCTTTTGTAAGGCATCCAGATGACTCTTTAGTCTGCAATATACAACAATACCCTAGTTATACCCTTTCTGTTTAATGTTTACCTCTCAATGATTATTAAGTACCACAGGATGATTCTCCACAAATGTCTTATCTAACTCTTTGTAATGTACCCCAGTATATAAGGACACATTTCTGTTTAATTCTGAACAAAACGTTAGTCGGACTTAATATCAATATTAAAAAGGCCACATAGGTATCTGTGATTCTTTATCAACTCCTTTTACAAGTATCACCAACTGTACACTATAATTCGTATATGTTTGAACTAGGTCACATAGTAGTGTAAGTCCCAATGGTCTCAAGTATGGTGATC